TACAAGTCAAGCCTGGTTCTTATAGAGTTCTTATCCAGTACTCTACTGCCTCTCAGTGCGGTTTACAATGACAAATATGCCTTGCAATGACAGATATGGCATATCTTTTTGTCCCGATTCAGACTGGCTGTAGACGTTTTCACTTCCTAGGGGAGGATACAACCGTATGAGGAAATGAAAACTAGCATAGAAATAAAATCTTTCGCTGCAAGACTAAACAGTTTACTCCTGCTTCAACCCCAAAATACTGGGGGTCGAGCAGGGGGACAGTAGGTACAACTTCTGAAAAACTGGTATTGTCACGGACGGGTCGAACTCACGTCCTCCCGCTCCAAAACGGACACTCTGACTACAAGAAATCCGTCCCATATTAAAACGTTAAGCGTGAGAATTTGTCATACAAAAGTAAGTTCTTGTATGTTCTTGTCAACTAAAAACAACACCCTCTATTTCAGCACAAATCTTTGCCTCCTGGTCTTTAAAAATTGTTCAATTTGGAAAATATTCGCAAACCTTGCATTATGCCTTCAAACTCTAAAATAGTCACTTTGTGAGACTGAATATGTCACGACCGCGGATTCAGATTTCAGACAATTATGGCGTCGTTCATCACGGCGGCGTCTCCAGGGAGGCAACTAAAAAGCACGCAGTCCCCAAGGATCGGTAATTATGCTGTTCTTCAACTCACAATAGAGACGGTGTGCTTTGTTCTTGTTAAACAGGGAATTTATGTTCGAACAAAATATCTCTGTTATTTGATTGAAATTTTGATATGGTCAGCGCCATGAACTTTTTTTAAATATTTTAATTTAAAAAGTGTCAAGTAATGTTCGAAGGACTCGTCATTATTTTGTCCTGGCAAAAGAAAAAACATTATTTCAGTGCAAGTAAACAAACTGAAGTTACAGGCTACGTATGTCTATGTGTTATTCATGTGAATATCGGTCCCTGCTATTTGACCGAATGGACTGGCCTTACTCAAGTCATGTCCTCGTTACCAGGAAACATTAACCGCAATGTCCTTTTCCATTCGTTCGGGTCTTATTACTACTGGTAGCACAAATATGCTATATTTTAAAACTGATACTGAAAAACGATTTTTTCCAAGATCATTTGCCTCGCCTAAGATCACGCCGTTTTAGCGAGTTTTACCAAATTGTAGTGCAATCAAATTAAAATATCGTCTGGTAAAAGTGCATTGACTTGTCATCCTCTCTCATATGTCACCGTGCCATCCACAGTTAATAGCATCATCTCCTTTCCCGAAACCCATTTTCCACGCAATTTTTTCTCTGTATTTCTTTTAATTTGTGAACCTAATAATAACATGGCGACAACTCTCATGCCTCATAATAGCGCCCTTAAGAATAAAATAGGTTTAAAGTAATTGAATATGTCACGCGTAGAAATGGTAATGTCCAAACAAGCAACCTGTCGTCTGCGTGAAAATGTGACTTCAGAATTTTCAATCCGAAAATGGAAGAACGGAAGAAAAAAAGAAAACCTTTGTAATGAAAAGTCAGTTTTATGTGCTAAATAGCGTTCATCAAACCCACGTTACTTAGTTTTAAAAGAAATTCAAACCTTTAACTTCTCTTTTACACAACGTGCCGTGGTTCTCTGTAAGAAATGATGAAATCTTTATTTTAGCCCTCTGGCTACATTTTCTCAATAAACACATTTTTTATAACAATAATCGTACATGTGTCTTATGCATAGTGTCTTTTTCTTTTTTACTATTTCACATGTGACGATCAATTAAAAATAGATTGGTAATTTTACAGACTTCGTTTCAAGCACGAATAGGATTATATGTAGAGAAGGGAAAAAGAGAAAAGGGGGTGGGGGAAATACTCCTTTGCTCGTAAAGGCTCCCTTTACACTGGACGGTGTCCTTTCTGAGTCCTTTGTGCGACCATGAAACTGGCATCGCTGTAGTCGTAGAAAGGAGACACAAGCATCGCTTTGGTTGCAGAAAGAATGCTCAATGATCGGCCAGTTGTAGGCACGTGAAGTATTATCTTTTACTCTCAAACTGGCCTACTACGGGACGCAGAAAGGACGCTGTCCAGTGTAAAGGGCGCTTTTCGTAGCAATAGATTACTCTCTGGTCTATAGTAGTCTGTTACACAAATGTATCCCCACGGTGAGATTTTGAATAGTATTTTAGTG